CGCCGAGAAAAGGCTGATGCTCCGTGGGACTACCACCATTTTGCCACTGCACAGTCTGTGGCGGCCGTCGCCAACGCCGGAGGCAGCGTGCACGCCGGCGCCCACGGCCAAATGCAGGTAATGCACTGAACCCCTTCACCTCGCCCGCACCGACTCTCTGGCTCACCTTCTTTTGATCGCCTAACAGGGCATCGGTTACCACTGGGAGATGGGCATGCTCGGGCAGGGCGGCCTCACGCCCTACCAGGTCCTCTACGCATGCACCCTGGGTCCGTTCTCCTCCTTCGTTCTTTTGTCGTCGTCTTGCCCTCTTTCGTCTTTCGTTCTTTGGCTGACCGGGCGGGGTGGTACGTACCACGATGCAGCTCCGGCCAAGGTCTTGGGGTTCGGCCGCGACCTGGGCTCGCTGGAGGCCGGCAAGCTGGCCGACCTGATCGTCTACGACGCCGCCGACAGCCCGCTGGACGACATCGCCAACAGCCAGCGGGTCAAGTTCGTCATGAAGGACGGGCGCATGTGGGACGCCGCCACCATGGACCAGGTCCTGCCCACCGCCCAGCCGCTCCCCGCCGGCCCCGTGCTCAACACACCCTCGCTCTGATGCCTCACCGCGAGTCTGGAATGATGAGCGTTCTTTACATCTTTTTGGTGGTTGGCTGCATGGCGGGCAGGGTCGAGTGTACGACCGCGCCGCCCAACACGACGGCGCGCACTTGACGCATACACGCGATGTCGAGGCCGGGGTCGCCGTCGACGACGATCAGGTCGGCCAGCAGGCCGCATGCGACGCTGCCCACGCGCTTGTCCCACCCAAGCAGCTCCGCGGCCGACGAGGTGGCAGCGCGGAGGGCCTCCACGGGCGTCATGCCCAGCTGCGCCACCAGGCACTCCAGCTCGCGCACGTTCAGCGCCGGGTCCCACCCCACAAAGTCGGAGCCGCAAGCGATCTTGACGCCCGCGGCCACGGCCTTGCGCAGGCAGGCGATGGACTGCTCGTCTGTCCTGTACTCTGAGAGGTGAGCCCAGTGATCATGTGTTGTGGGTCGTGTCGTGTGTCGTCGCACTCTTTCTGGAGCTGGAGCATCTTGCTGAGGGGTGCGGCGGAGGCGGAGCTCGCCATGGTCGAGTAGTAGACGCCAATGAACTGTGTGGGCACCAGCCACGTCCCGCTGGCCAGCGAGATCGTTCACGACAACGCACTGCAGTGAGCATTCGTGAAGAGAAGGAAAAAAGCGAGAGAGAGGCCGTTACTGCTGCAGCATGAGCTCGATGCCCTCGTCGTCGATGAAGCTGCCGTGCTCGATCGACCGTACTCCGGCCCTCACCTGCCCGTTTTGCAGTGGTTATAAGGAGAACGTAACACCCGTGAGAGGCGGCGCATGACGCACGGCTTGTTTGATCCCCTCGGCCGAGTGGGCATGGGCCATGACGTGCTTCCCGAGCCGCCGGGTCTCCTCCACCGCCACGTGCAGCTCCTGCGCAAGACGCAGTTGGTCCCATTCTCCCACCGTCGTGTATGGGGAGCTACCCTCCGGCCGGAGGCTTGGACTGCGTACCTGCGGGCTGAAGTGGACGTGCATGGGCGCGTCGGCTGAGGAGGTCGACATCGACATGTACGCCCCCGTGACCAGCAGCTGTTCTCGTCGCAAGTTTCTTATCCGGTGAGCGTGCGTGCGTGCGTCACACGACACACCACACACGACACACACAAGCAAGGTCATTTTATGCGCACCTTGATCCAGTCGCTGCCGTACTTGATCTCTTCGCGCACGGCCTTCCGCATTTCATCCGGCCCATCCACGACCTTACCGTCTGCCGTCCAACAACAACAGCAAACGGTGAGCTCCCCATGTCGATAGGGGAAGGCGCGCTAAGGGCTTAGATCGTACCGGCGACGACGCAGCCGGCGTGCTCGGGTGCGATGGTGTTGATGTCCCCGCCGCCGCCAGTGATCGAGAGATAGTGCCCGGCGCCGGTCATGCGCGGCCCCATGTGGATGCCCTCTGCACACCCACCCGCGAACAAGCGTCAGTCTTCTTGTGCGACAGAGCGGTGAAGCGAAGAGCACAGACCGTCGATGGCGCGACGCAGATCGAGGGCGGCGAAGTACACGTCGGCATCGCCCGCGACCCGCAGCGTGGTCCACCCGCACTTTAACAGCGCCTGCACCACCGCTAGTCCCCGCAGTGCCTTGAACTGTTGGTTGGTTGTTTGTGTGAGAGAAGACATCAGAGGACCTAACGGCCGATGTGGCGGCTGCGGTCGTTGGGACGTACGGCCGACGACTGGCACAGATGGCGCATCTGGTAGTCGTTCTCATTGATGAGCGGATGCACATGGCAATCGATGAGCCCTGTTGGTGCGCCATGGCGCATGTTCAACAACCG